AAGGAATTTTCCTCCAGGGCAGTTTGGAAGAGGCCCTGGAGGTTTTTCGCCTTCCTCTGTAGCATGGGGCATGGGTCACTTGCTGGAGGATTCTCTGCTCCTTGAAGTCTTTAAACCATGATTTGAGGACTTCAATAGCTCAGACATAGGTGAGAAGTTTTTCGCAGGAGTGGGTGGGTGAGATTCTGTGGCCTGCGTTGTGCAGGTGGTCAGACTAGATGATCATAATGGTCCCTTCTGACCTTAGTATCTATGAATCTATGAGTTGATTTGACAGGGCACATATGACATGTGGTGAGTTCCCCACTCTGCACCCTCTGCACTTAGCCACCACATAGTGGAGCTGCTTTCTAGTACCGCTAGCCAGGCTGGACAGAGACATTCCAGAACCCCACCTCCAGCAGCTGCTTTTGGTGCCGCTGTCTGGCAGGCAGAAGTCACTCCAGGAATCCCCCATCCTTTGACCTCCCTGTTGCTGCTGATCAGGTGCATGGAAAAGGACCTCTTCTCCCTGCCTCCCCTCTTTTCTCTTTCCTTCCCCCCGCCCCCCCATCAAGAGGACAGATTTTAAAACAGCTGTGTAGGGTTTTAGCCATGCATCTCCCATTGGCTTTCATAGAATCTCAGGGGTTGGAAGAGACCTCAGGAGGTCATCTAGTCCAACCCCCTGCTCAAAGCAGGACTAATCCCCAAGTTTTGCCCCAGATCCCTAAATGGCCCCCTTAAGGATTGAACGCACAACCCTGGGTTTAGCAGGCCAATGCTCAAACCACTGAGCTATCCCTCCCCCTGGAGAGACAGGGAGGCGTTGTGGTTAGGGCAGTAGACTCAGGGCTCATTTCCACTGAAAAGTTAAAACAGCATAGCTACGTCTCTCCGGGGTGTGAAAAAGCGAAACAGTTAAGCCGGTCTAACCCCTGGTGTAGACAGCACTAGGTCGATGGAATAGTTCTTCTCGGGGAGATGGATTCCCCACACCAAGGGAAGAACCCCTCCCATCAGCACAGGCAGTGTCTACACTGAAGCTCTGCAGCACAACTGTGCGCTGTAGCAGTTTAAGTAGAGATGTAGCCTGAGACCCAGCAGAACCAGGCTAGGTTCCTGCGTCTGCCAGAAGCTTCCTGTGTGATCTCGAGCAAGTCATTTAACCTCTCTGGGTCTCAGTTCCCCCCCAGTAAAATGGTAATAAAACAAAATAATACTGTCTTCTAGCTACCTCTTGTTTGTTCAGACTGTAAACTCTTTGGGGCAGGGACTGCCTCTCCCTATGTGTATGTACAATGCCTAGAAAATGGGGCCCTGACCTCAGTTGGGGCCCCTTGGTTCTACTGCAAAACAGTAATAAAATACAGTAACTGAACATTTACCTTTCGTCCTTTCGAATGCTCTAAATAGCTTCCCTCCTTGTAAATTCTTTCCTAAACCAGCCTTTTTATATACAATGTTTAATGTGAAAAAAAGTCCTACATTAACATTGTAATATAAAAGTAGAGCCCTGGCTTTCTGGCTGTATGACAACAGTATCCCCTTGCTGCTCAGAAGGCCGAATACACTCGCCAGTAGCATGCAGCCTTTCACGTTCCCCTGTCCCCCTTCATGCAGTTATTTTTGAAAAGCAAAAGTCCTATGCCTGGCAATCTTTCTGCGCCAGCAATAAGTAAAACCTTTTGTTCCATTAAACCTTTGGCCTATGATTACAATTGGCTATTTTTGGAGCAGTCACTTTTCGGCACTGAAAAATGTCTAATGCATTTTTAAAGACCAAGGGGGCAATCTCAGATGATAAATGTTCACAGTACATATCAAGTGTGCTCTGCAAACATTAATAAATGTTTCAAGACGACTGCTGCTTTAGATGGTGCCAGAGAAATCTCTTTGTGAGAACTTAGACACCGCAGGGAAGACCAAGATATAAATTTGTAGATGTCTGTCTGGACAGATGGATAGATAGATGAGCAAGTTGGAAGAAGGACATTTTATATAGAGCTGGTCAGAAAACAGGGTTTTTTCCCCATGGGAAATTTTGAGCTTTTGGCAAAAAATCAAAATAATGTATATTTGAGCTGAAAACCGAAACATTTCTGTTCTGACAAATGCCACTGAGGTGTCGCATAGGAGTTGTACTTTGAGTTCTTTCGACAGGCCAGCTTCCCTGTCCAGACTACATTTCCTCTGGGTCTCCTCTCTCTGTAAAGGGAGCTGGTGCCTCATGGAAATGGCATGGCCATTCTGCATCTTCAGGAAATAAAGTCTGAGTGGGGAGCTCAACCCATAGAGGAGAATAGGAGCATGAGATACCCAAATTACAACTCCCATCAGGCACCGTGGTGGAAAGTCTGAATAACAACATCCTGATTTTCAGACATTTGGTTTTTCTTAACAAAACAAGACAAAAATCAACACTTTCTGCTGAAAGCAGACACTTTGGCAACAAAATTCATTTAGTCAAACCCCCAGTTTTCCATCAAAAAACAGATGTGACACAAAATTTTTGACCAGCCCTAATTTTCCATCACTTCCTCTCGAAGGTAGTGGTCTGTATTGTGTGTGTGTGTATATGTAACTTCTGTGTGAGTGTGAGTTGTGCCTGTGAATAGAGAGGGATGATCCATTCCTACACAGACTTACCTACTTTCTCATAATGTGCTGGGGACAAACACAATGGAAAGTCACCCCTGTGTTCCCTAAAGCAGCCAGAGAGAGGGAAATGAAGAAATGTTGCGTTGTCCCCCCCGCTCCAAGCCTAGGGGAGCCCCTCCCTCCATATGACCATGCACAATGGAGGCTCTCAGGGTATGTTGGGGCACGGGGAAAAGGGACTGGGGATCAGGCACTATATGCACCATACTTTCCTCTGGATTCAAGGAGAAAGGCAAGGGAGAGTTAAAGTGTAAACTCCTCTTCGGCCTGCCGAGAGGGGATAGAACACTGATGTAGCATTGGGAGCCACACTGCCAGTGGGTCGAGCCCACTCCACACTGGCAATCTGTGTAATCACCAGATGGCTTCCCGCTGTGAGGGGTCTCTCACACGATGCAGGCACACTCAGCTGCTGGCTGCTTAGACTCTGGAGGATCCATCTTGTCATGTAACTAATAAATAGAGTTCTGAACTACACTTTATATCCCTGGTCTCACTCTGATTCCTGGAGGCTGCAGCATACACAGGAGGAAAACACTCTTGGCTGCTGACTGTGCTCGAGAGGACGATATAACCTGGAGTTGGGGATCCCTCAGCTCCATGATGTTTGAGGGCCATGGCCTCTGGACCTTCCCTCTCCAGAAGGCAAAACCCTTCCCCTGACAAGACCATGGGGCAGAACCTGCACAAGTTAATGCCCACGGGAGTGGAAGATGCATCTCTGAGCCCCTAGCAATACTCAATGGCCATTGGCTTCCCTGGGAGGGAAAGGTGCTGCAACATCGGGCCAGTGCATTCATACCACTCCCTTTCCCGCTTTCTTATCCTGTACAGCCTGGGTCCCAGGCATGTGAGAGGGGCCTCTGGCCTTCAAGCCCTTCCCAGCAGCAAAGCTGGGCTCCTACTATCCCTTCCCATGGGCTTACTCAGGGGAAGGGACCCCACCTTTGCAATACTCTCTGCTTGGCAGACGACCAGAGCCCAACATTTGGCCGGCTCCAGGGCACGACGTGAGACACGTTTGTTTGGCGTTGAGCTCTCGATTGACTTTTTCCTCCCCATGACAGCGTGGCTGCTAATGTTTCTGGCAGCAGCAGACGCAGTGGTTTGGAGGAACGCTGGCTGCTGCAGGGAGTTTTCTATAATTGGCTTTGTTAAGTTTTGTAAATAAGCTTCTAGTTGCCACAGCAATGGGTTCTCTCTAAGGGGCCTGATCCTGCATAGGGCTCCATCCTGCAACCAGAAGTCCCTTTCCTCACACAAGATGTCCCACTGATGCCCCAAGTCCCACGGATGTGTTTGCAGGATCAGGCCCAGACTCCAGCTCGCAGACCTTAGTCACACGAGTAATCTCTATGTACACATCAGAGGTGGATACAGGAAAGGACTGGGAGACTGAAGACCTGTGTTCTATTCTGGGCTCTGCTACTTACCTGCAGGGTGAACTTAAGTAATTCACTTCACCACTCTGAGCCTCAGTTTCCCCTTCCACTCTGTGTCTGCCCTATCTATTTTGATTGTAAATTCTTTGAGTAAGGGACTGCCTCTCATGATGTGGCAATTAAAGCCTCCTGTGCCCTCACAGACAGACAATGTGGCCCTGAACTTGGCTGAGGTCTCTGGATGTGGATGTTATACCAGTAACGCAGTGGGTGTATTTGAACTCAGTGGAGCTGCTCAGTTTCCCAGAGGGTAATAATCATGCCAACTCACATTTCTAAAGTGCTTTGCGAACCATTGATGAAAATGACTATATGGCCTTGTCCACCGTGAGGTTTTTAGCTAGCAGTGTAGCTACAATGATGCTTCAAACCAGGTTAGCTGCAAGGGAGCAAGTCCCAGTTTACACTGGTGCAGCCTGTTTGCACTGGGGGTTTGTGTTGGTTCAGCTACACTGTTTTGCCCCCAGTCTGAGGCAGGCCTCCGTGCTCAGATAGATTATTTATAATTGATTATTTATTTATGGTAGCATCACTGTATGCTGCATGCTTTCTAGACACACTCTGCTCTGAGATCACAATCTGAGGACAGACAAACCTGCAAAGGTTGGTGGAAAGGAACAGAAACAGCAATAGGCACACAATATATAATTTACATCCAAGTCAGCTTGATTCCCCATAAACAGCATGGCAGAAGTAGGTCTGGTGATTATTATACATATATAATAGCAGTCACAGTGGGAGAGGTACATGTTTAAAGAGACCTAGAGGGAAGAAAAATAAGCGTTGCTCTGGCCCCCTGTAGCTTGTTGTATCGATAAAGTGCGCATAAGGCGTTGATTCTTGGGGAGGTGGTTCTATTGGAAGTTGGAGCAAATGGACAATACTAATGTGCTGCATTTTTTCACCTGTGTTTTTCAGTAAAGAGTACCCAGTGGTTCCTAGGAGTACGGTGAGACAAAAAGTGGCCTCTAATCACAGCCCTTTCAGTGGTGAGACCAGGGTTCTCTCGGCCTCCTCCAACCTAGCATCCCAGTATCAGTGCGAGAACGGGGTGTCTAGCACCTCCCAGGACCTGCTACCGCCTGCCAACCCGTACCCGATCTCCCAGGAGCACAGCCAGATCTACCACTGCACCAAGAGAAAAGGTCAGGCCCTGGCAACTTCCCCTTATCTCGCTCATTGGTTCCCCGTGCAAAAATGGATGTCAAACCCATTTGGCATTCCTCACCAATACCTGATTTCCCCAGCCATGGTTTAAAGTTAAGTCCTTTGGATGGGCAAAGGCTTGCTATTGTCAGCGTCGCCTGTGTTACATGCATTGGGCCAGATCCCCCGATGTTGTAAATCACTGCAGTGCCGCTGACTTCAGGAGCGATGCTGAATTGCACTGGCTGACGAGCTGCCTTGCCGCTCGATTCAACTCGGTTAGGAAAGAGCGCTCAGATGAAACACAGCTACAAGTCGAATCCACATCCAGAAAGATAGCCAGTGACTGAGATAAAGAGAACTTATCCGTCTCTATAGCCTCTGAGAAGGTCTACGGGTTAATCTAAACATGCACACACCTAGATATTCTGGGTTTCAGGTGGTGTTTGCTGAATACAGTCTTATATTTGGGTGCAGCCTGCATGGGGCCTATGCTCCTTTTATGTCTTTGGTCCAGTGAATAGGGAACTGGACTGGGAATCAGGAGACCTGAGTTCTTTGCCACTGACTGCTGTGCGACCTAAGCCCAGTCCTGCCAAAGCTTTACTGGGAACCCCGTATTCAGACTGAGGAGCAATTACAGAAATGAGTAATCCCGCTGACATCAATGGGACTGCTTTTGTGAATAGCTGTGCACCAGCAGGAGTAAGGCATATGTAGTCAGTGGGGAAAAACTTGCAAGACTGAGCCATGCCAGAGGGGAAAAAATAGTGACCCCCCTAGCACTGATTCCTCAGGCATAAGGCTGCTATAGGTCATTTTTAGTAGCATTATGGTAACACCTAGCAGGTCCAGCTGAGATCATGCATCCTTTTAGCTGCTGCACATACATGCAGTAAGACGTGGTGAATGCCTGGAGGATCTTATAATCTAAGCAGAGCCAAAGTCACATGCAGCAAGTCAATGGAAGAGTCAGGAACAGAAGCCAAGACTCCTAGATCATGAGTCAGCACCCTGTCCGGGAGACCATCTCCCTTCATAGCCAGACTTTGCCCCTTCAGCTCACTTAGTGGTGAGAAAGCTGCCACCCTTTCCCTCCCTTAGTTCGAGCCCAGCCTCCAGTGCATCTGAGCTCCGCTACATTGCACAACTAGCTTAACCTTTGCCAGACCCTCTTCCCCCGTGCTCTGTTTTTAAAACAAGAAAGCCTGAACAACAACAAACACTCATGGCAATCTTTGACTGCTGTGTGTCCCGGCCACACAAAGCAATTCATCATCAGCCTCCACATTGTAAAGTGATAAGGAATCAACAGAGGTTTCCTTCCAGTTTTGGGATTCCCGCTAAGTGGTGGCTCCATGGGTGGTTTCCCTCAATCCCCCAATTATCTCACTTCCTCTTATTGTCACAGAAGAGAAGATATCTCCTCAGGAATAAGTTCACCAACCCCTTTCGGCAGGCATGGCCCTGTGAAAGTGCAGGGGACTGGCAAAGGGAGCCCACGTCTGGGCCGCTGCTGTCTCCTCGCTATCTCTCCAATGGCTTGAGTGGCACAAGCAGTTAAGGGCCTTTTATGAAAGCCGCCAAATGCTTTAATCAAAGAGTGGCAGTGTCCTGTCAGATACCACCGGCTTCTTCCGTGAGCCCAGAACTGTACCTCTCAGGAGCCTGAATCTCTGCCTTCCTTTCTGTGCTCCCCCCCACCCCATGCATCTAATAAATCGAAAACAGCCACCAGGGCTTAAAGAAAAGAAACAAGAAGTTAATAGGAAACAGAGAGAGCGAACATAGCTGCCAAGTGGCTCTTTGCAAAGTGAGATTAATTAAAAAGAAAAGTAACGAAGGATGAGCAAGCCAGTTGGGATAAATCAGAACCTGACCCAAGCTTTCACCTGAATCTCAGGCTGCATTTGTCACGGGCCACTTTCTTCTAACACTGAAACAAGGAACTTTATTAGAATAAGGAAAACAGTATCCCCCTAACATGTTCTCTCTCTTCACTTCACTGTACTTTCCTGGATCCAACTCCTACCTGGCTTCCTGCTACAGTTTTAAGAATACAGTGCACATCACTTCACATCTTCCCCTCCCCACTCACTTAATCTTCTTTATAAATAACTTTTAATGAGCTTTAATACTTCACAAAAATATAAACTCCGCAGATTCATTATTAACCCAGCTCTGCTCAGCTTCTGGTCTTGAGGAGGGTTTTCTTCAACTGATTTACCTGGATCATCAAATGTGCAGAGGCGTTAACTCCTGTACGCTAGCTAGTCTCAATAGAAATATCACCTTTCAGCAAGGCTGTGCAGTGGGTACTAAGGTTACTGGGATCACAGGGCAATCCAGCTGAGTTCAGAACTAGCTGATTGGCCACTGTCAGAAGACAGGATACTGGCTAGATGGACCCTTGGTCTGACCCAATAGGGACATTCTTCTGTTCTTAAGCTGCTGCCTGTATGTTTCTGTGCTAAACACTTTGATCAGCCTCTACCATGAAGACTGTCAGGGTGTAACTGCAACAGCTAGTCATGTCCAGTTTTTTTCCTTATCCATTTATATCAGGACTGGGTTTCTTGATTTACGCGTGAGTAAGTTTTGGTCTGTATGCCAACGGCTAAAGAAGAAATCCTGAGGCATCTCACAGCTCCTGGCCTCTCAACCACTTGCTAGGACAAAGATTTGCCTCTGTGGTTAATAGCATTGTTCTTATCTGTTGAGCAAAGATGGACTTACCCTGGTGACTGATATGGGGGTTCCCCTGTAGATGAACAGCTGGGCTAATGTGGGATCCTATTGCTGTAGAATTCTCTTAACAATCTATGCTCCTCAGAGACCTCAGAGTCCTTCCTCTCATGGGTGATGAGCGCTGGAAGTACTAGGAAGACATATTTTATCCCAAAAGCTTAGACTTCAGAGCTGGGTCCCATTGAGACAAGTTCTTTCAGAATGCCAAAATGAGAAAAAAATGCCTTTTAATATTTCTATGGCCCATTAACTTGTGCGTCTATTCAGAAATAGAATTTCTACAAACATAGAAAAATAACCAGTGGTTCCCAGGCATGTAGGTGCCTTTTTGTCACATAGGTCAGGTGCTATTTTTTTCCAAGCCCTTCTGGATAATGGTGTAGGTACAAGGGGTTCTTTGACTTGTGTTTTTCTGGTTACCCCAGGATTCTACCTTGTTGTTAAGCACCTGCCCTACTCAGGGCCTCTACACCAGCATTTGGACCATCTCCTAGCATTTTGTGAAGTCCCTTAGGTACCCTTTCTAATACAACATCCTGCAAAGACTGAAGGACTAGAGTACATGTGCCATAGATAATCAGACCATCAGCTTTGACGAGTTCTCATCTTATTCCATAGGAGTCACATGCTGGGTGAGGATGCCCTGCCAAGTAACTGGTCTGACTGGTCATCCATATAAAATTGGATACATTTTATAGTTGTTTATCAGTGCTAGTAGTTCTAAATTTCAGTGGTGAGCCTGACAGACCGTTCAAAAGGGCACCTACATGAGCTTCTATATCATACCAAGCCTCTGGAAAACCTGAGTGATCCATGGCACTCTTAAATATGGTGCCAGCCACAACAAGGGGCTTTGTTGGGGCAGTATTCCGAATAAACCTAAATCTTAAAAAATGTAGGTACCATCTTAGGAGGTATGACTAAGTTTTTACTGTTTTTAATAGCATGAGTGGCTTGCAGCCTGTTATAAGTTTCATATAGATAAGACCCTGCAAATATCTTGTGGCCCTCTTTGCGTGTACATACACTCAACAAACAATCTCTCTAGTTGGGCATACTTGATCTCAGCATCTGAAAGTCATCTGGAATAATATGCTACAGGCTTCCAGTCATCTTGGTGTAACTGAGACCTTTGTTGTTTGTGTCTTCTGAAACTGCCGTAGACTTGAAATGCTCATAAAATGGCAGCACTAGAGATGAGATCAACAGAGTTTAGTTACATCAGCGCATTCCTGTGCTTTATCCACACAGAGTCTGTTTAAAGTAGTTCAGAAAGAGAATGGTTTTTAGATGACAGGTTCGCTACTTTTAGCTCCAAATTGTTGCACCCACGAAGTTGGAGATGATGCCATCCATGGTGGAAAGAATATGACTTTCTCTCCTTACTGCTTCACCAAACCTCATGAGGTCTTCACAGATATGGAAATCCCCATTTTTTCTCGTAACAGGCACCATTAGGGCACATGCCTCTGTCGATTCAGAATTGCACTGTCACACCGTTCTTATTCATCCTACCTCTTTCTTCCTTCACTCTGGGAAGCAGCAGGATTGTTGTCCTCTCTGCATGCTGGACAAATTAGCTACAGTCCTGTTTTTCAATAGAATCCGCACAAGTTTAAATCCTTAAATCCTTTAAGGCCTTTTTTTTTTTTTTTGCCATACCCCATGCCAGCTTCTGTGAGTTTTAGGAGGCCCAATTCAGTGGCTGTTTTTTCAGTTTAAGGGGTTACTTAAGGTTATCCTATTAACACCAAAGGCACCAAATGCATACTCCCTGCCCTTGTAGCAAATAGGGGCTTCGAACTGACCCTGCGAATTTGTCTGTCTCCATAGGATATTGAACCCTATGGTCCAAAGCTAGTTAAGTTAAAAAAAGAGGTTGTTCACCCAAAACCCACCTGGCAGTAAAGTTGCAAGGCCAGAGTCACCCTTGTGTTTCATAGTTTACAATCTTTTACAACCCTGGGATGCTCCAGCTTTGGGCTCTCTCCTTCAAAGTCTCCATACAAACTGCAGCCATCTCTCCTCGGAATCTATTTTAAGTTTAACAGAAGCATTGCAGATCTTGAAATTGTTGGACCAGTGGAGCGACGCGGATTTACAGGAGCGGAGAAATTGGCTCTAAGTCCATTTGTGAGTCCTTTCTTTGGACCCATTCCCCAGGATACAGGCATCACTCACCCTTGCTTAGGCCATTTTTAAAATGGTCCTTCCCTTTTCCTCACAGGAATTTTTTTCTTTGCTACTTCTC